CTCTGTGATTATACAGAATATTATAAAGCTGCTGGTAGAATAATAATAGCTGCCATTTATTCATTATCTACCACCTGGGTGGACCTGTGCTGGGCCCTGTAGATCCATTATCTCACCTAGTCCTCAGACTGGCCAAGATTTTAGCTCCATTTTACTGATGAAGGAACTGAAGCTCAAACAGGTTAAGCAATTTTCTCTGGTCACACAGTCAGAAAGTAGCAGAGACATGATTTTAAGTGGGCTCTGACTTCAAAGCGCGTGACCTCATCAGGACTTCTGACATCTAGAATATTTGCAGTCAGGACCTATACCAGGTAATGCACTCCCCACCTCCATTCAGCAGCCCAGACAGGATCCTTCAGCCTGTTTTCCAGGACCCTGCTGCTGCATTTGCACTCTGTGCAGAAACACCACGTAAATTATTCATTTTCAAAGTTGGATAATGTGCCCGATGCATCTAATATTCACAGTAAACAACAACAACATTTGGAGAGTAGGTGCTCCACGCCAGGAAATAGCCTTATTTATCTTAATCCTTCCTTCTCTGTACACACATCTCCTTGTTCCTTCGGCACCTCCATGCACTGTTCCTCCCCTGGTTGAACACACATCACGTGTGGTTAGGGTATAATGGTACAAGTGCTTCTGCAAACATTCCTCACAATTTTAATTATCCTTAACTATTCTCTGGTGTCTGCTGAGTTTGGAAGACCAGGATGTGAAAAGACGATATCTTTGGCACACGAGTCTGAAGAAATGGATACAGTGAATGTTCCTAATTGTTTTCAGTTCTTCTCCCACCCATACACATTTATGGGGCTCCCTTTATGTCCCAGGCACTGTGCTAGACCAACAGTGAGATGAGAGGGAATATCATGCTGTCACCCAGAGAAGTCCCTAAAACATTTTCCATGTCTAAGGCTTTGTTTTAAGTTGTGCTTGCTTACAGGAACAGAGGCAGAAGATTGGCAGATGGCCAAACCACACAACTGGTTCAAACCAGAAAGGTCCGCAATGGCAATGGGGTGCTGTGTGCAAAAGGAAATGCATGCAAACAGTGCCTTGTGCAAAAGGAAATGTGTGCAAAAGGTGCTGTGTGCAAGAAGGGAAGACCTGCACATGTCCAAAATGCCCCCATTCCAAGCGATGGTGCGGAGACCCATCGCCCCCTTACATCCCATAAGAACCCTGCTCACCTGCCCTTCCAGCACAAGCTGTTTTAGAGCACAAGCTCTGCCTCCTCCATTCATTGATCAGCAAATAACGTTTCTGCTCTGCTATTCCGGACCTAGTCTCGTTCTATTGGCACGAAAAGCTCTGGGCAAAAGGACCAACTTGCTGATCACCCATCCCTTAGGACTCGGTAACAATGCTTTTCCTTAAGGAGCTTGAAGTCGTGTAGGAGTGACGGGCAAACAGAACAAGTTTCATTCTAATATGGTAAGTGCTGTAGTAGAAGTGTGCACAGTGGGTGACGCTGAGGAGAGGCTGTGTGACAGACGGGTGGGGATGAAGGATAATCAAGTCCCAGATGTTGTGGTTAAGTATCTCGGCTGTGTCTGATGTCTCAGTTATGTACAGGAAGCTTGGTGTTGTTAGACCAGAGGTCTCACACTGCAGTCCCTGGAACTACATCTTGACACCTACCATGGACCAGGAGCTCCTCAAGCCCTGAGTACACAGAGGGAACAAACTAGAATCAATAGGAACCAACTTGCAGAAGCAGAGTCCCCTGCTGCCAAAAAGTTATATAGCCTTAGGTAAGTTACTTCTCTCTTTTGGACTCAATGTCTTGATCTGCAAAAGAGGGAAATTGAAGAAGATAATCACTAAAGCCCTTTTGTCAGCTTTAAATCCTTAAGAGTCTATGAAATAAAGATTTCCGAAGAGTTTGATTTTTTCCACTAAATATTATCCTGGTGAGTATAACCATGAGCCGTATACCATCCCTGGCTCTGGAGTTCAATGAGAACAAAATATGCGTGGTCTGTGCTCTTGTGGAATTCACCAGCTATGGGGAACACAATTTTAAACAAACAAACAAAATATATAACTATATATTATCAACGGTAGGGGCTTTGAAAGGAAAGTTTTTGAAAAATGTTTTGTTTTCTTAAGCAACTGGAACTTGTCTGTGGCTCTCCTGATCCTTTATGTACACGGTTAACATAACTGTCTTTTCGATTGGAGCATGATCTGGATGACATTCATCTGAGTGTCACCAAGGCCACATGCAGGTACAGGAACCCAAGAGAACGGGAGGCATTGCTGAGTCATTGAGGCTCCCCAGACCCTCCTCAGAGCTACCTAAGACCTCAAGACACCTGACTGACTAGGAGGGAGCAGCAAAGAAAAAGAAAGCATTTATGCCCAGGCTGGAGAGGGACAAGAGCCACGATTCTGCAGCAGCGCCAGATCTCATTTGGACCACGACACCAGGAAATAACTGTGAACTGACAAGTGTTTGTGGCTCAGGCTACAAGCAGACAGCAGTGAGAGGATCAAGGCTCCTCTGAGCTGCCCCCAAAGTACTTCATCCTGGCCAACGGGCTTTGTCAATGAATGGCTCACCAGGGAGAGCTGGGTTTCACTGTGAGCAATTGTTTAAATCCAGGCTTAAAGAAGCTAAGTGCTTCATTCTCAGTCATACGGCACTTTGTTGAGACTGCTACAGGGTGAAAGAGGAGAGGAGAAAGTACATTCATGATTCCAGCCTCTCGTATTTACCGTTGTGAATTTCCTAAGTTGTAAGTTACTGATCAGATTCAGAACGGAGAATCATGCCAGCCGGGCTTTATATTGTGCATATTCCTCAAAAGTTCTCTAGAAAGATTGTCACATTTTTCTCATCGTGACCCTAAAACTATCCACATAGCTTATCTGATTTTAAAAAACACCTTTAAAAGACATAGTCTGTTTAAGTGACCCATTCAAGGTCACCTAGTAAATGAATATCAGGCCACAAAGAGAACCAGGATAGTCCGATTCTTTCACTCTGTGTAATGGACCACGCTATGTTTCTTACTTTATTTTTTGCATTCTCAGGAACTACAAACTAGCCTAAAGCAAACTTCTATCCTGGGGAAAAATATACTTGGTCAACTTATAAACTGGAGAATTCACAGCAGAAAAAATAAAGTCCCTACGGAGAACAGGAAGAAAAGCTCCTGAATTTAATCCCTAGTTCCCATTCCCATCTCAGGCGTGAAGCGTGCTTCACCCTTCCATGCCTGGCTCAGGACCGAGCATCACAAGTACTAGATCTCTCTCTGGGTTGTCTTCAGGATAAAGAAACTGGAAATGAAACTGGACGAGGGTATCTTGTTCTTGGAGTAAGGGGGAGGGAGTCCAGGCAGGACAATGCATGGCAGGTAACTCTGTTATTGGGAAAGCCCCAATGCCTCCCAAACCCGGATGAGCTGTGTTTTTCCAAAGAGCTCTGTGACCAAAGGCCTTTGACACACAGTTCTACTGGGCAGTGAGAGTGACATCAAGTGGAGGTAAGAGTGAATGAAACAGCCAAGTTACCTTGGTGCTGTGGTGGAGGATTGTCACTCTGTGAAGCATGCTTCCGGTTTAGAGTTATATTTAGAGTTTGGATGTTGCTTCCACTCCATGCCCCTGTTCTCTCACCTGCGTATTTCTCCAGTGACCTCCTTGCACAGAAATTTGAGTTCTCCTTCACAGAGTGGGTCATTTTCTAAGCTTGGTCATTCTGGAGTCTTTGTGGGAACTGGAGAATGGGGTTTCTTTAGGGGATTCGTGTTACGTGAAGTTGAGTGCAATAGATATTGCGGACCACCTACTGTGTGCCAGGTACTGCGTTTGTAGTGAGAAGTTAAAGATGGTCCTGACACTCTGGAAGTTCACTGTCTAATTCAGAGTTAAAGACAATAAATACAGTGAGCACAGAGAAGGGATGTCTAATGCACCCCAACAGAAGAAGGTGATATTTGAGTTGAGTCTTGAGGGGATGAGCGAGCCACATAAAGCTTTAGGAGGTGAGGGCCTGGGTGACAGCCTGAGCAAAGTATGGAAAGGGATAATAGCATCACGGGCACAGAGAGAGATTTCAGGACTATGGGCTGAGATTTTGACGGGTTGATGTATTGGTCCCAGTTTCCTCCTCTGCAAGACGAGAGGGTGGACTCCAGGCTTGGCTTTCTCTGAGCACATTTCCCATGGAGAGGATGAATATGGAGGGTGATTGACCTGAGAGGCTCACCCAGTCTATGTGCCCCCGACGCCATTTCTTTGTTTGTTTTAAAGAGTGATGTAACTTTATTGAAAGATGCCAACATTACAATACCCCAGAAATTTAAATCTTTGAATCTATCCAAATCCATGCTGAAAGATTTTTAAAAATTGTGGTAAAATATACATAACATAAAATTTACCATTGTAACCATTTTTAAGTTTACAATTAGAGGTGGTAAAAATCACCTTGCTGTGCAACCACACCACTCTCCACCACCAGAACCTTTTCATCCTCCCCCACTGAACCTCTGAACCCATTAAACAATAGCTCCCCTATCCCTCCAGCCCCTGCGACCTGCCCCTTGTTTTGAATCACTGAGCTGTTCTTGCCTTTTGTGTACGAAGTCCCAGGCTGCTTTGCGACAGCACAAGAGAGATGGAACTATCCAAGAGAGTAGGCAGCTCCTGACAGAGGGACTCCTGACAGAGGGACAGCCATCAACTTTTTGGTTCTTACCACAACACCCATTAACACTGCATTTCTAAGCAGCGTCAAGAGTTTCTCCTTCAACTTAGGACATAGAACCCACCAGGGAAGCTTGAGCTCCCCCGAGAGTTTAGTGTCCTCATTGCCACAATCCTTGCCAAATACAAGGGAAAAAACTTGAATTGTTGGTGGCCGTGGGAAGGGAAGGGAGGAACAAGATTTGAGAGCCACTAGGGAGTTTCTAAGTACAACCTGTCCGTGTTCCTGAAATAGCACGTCCTCCCTTCCTCTCTCCTCACACGCTGGACTGCACTTCATAATCCTGCCAACACTTAAATCCCTTTTGCTTCCTAGACTGTCCAGAGCAATTGATAATGCTGATGCTTTAGGAAGCAATGCTGTGCTTTAAGTCAGTTTGGAACTCATGTTTCAGCAAGGGCCCACTGCGTTCCCAGGCATGGCAGAAATCAAGTGAAACGTAATGCATAGAGCCTGACCACCTCTGGTCCCAAAGGCTTGCTTGGAACTCCTCACAGGATGGAAACCTTCCTATTTCTGCATTAATCCTTGTCTGCTGGCCAAGTTCCAACTCAGGTAATTACATTCTCCCTTCCCCAAATCCCCCGGCAGACTTAGTCCTTTCCTATGTCTTCTTGTGATTTTTAGTTTTGGTGGCATTTTGCTCTTGACACAGCATTTTTCTGAAGAGATTTTGCCTTGAAATGAGAAGGCAGAGATGGGTGGGCCCATGAGCAATGTGTATTTTCTACAGAAGAACTGTAGGATGAAGAGAAGGTGGTGACGCAACACTGACCAGAGCAGAACCAAAGAGAATGACAGACTCATGAGATCCTCTGATCTGGTCCCCTCCCTCAGGTAGGTGCATTATTAGACTACTGATGTTGTTTATTGACTTCTTGGTACCAAGCCTGCATAACCCTCTAGAGTTAGACAGCCAGTTTGATCACTCTTTTGGCAAGTGATTAATTCACCTTCTAATGAAACCACTACTGCTTGGGTGTTGCTAATCCATCCCATGTTTCTTGTGTTTAATTGGCGAATGGCTTATTGTGCAGTTCCCCAGGGTTATGATCTCAATTTTACTTTGGGATAAAGGGGTTGTAGACATTTTTGGTTATTTGGGTTCAAAAAATCACTAAAACATGCCAGTGATTTCTTAGTAATTATATTTTAAATATCACCTAGCCCTCAAGATGGGATCAATTAGGTGACACACGTCAACTCACCAAGCGTTTATCGAATACTTGTGCCACCTTCCACTGATGTGACCTTGAGGAAGTTAGCTAACAATTTCGTGCTTCAGTTTTCTCATTTGTAAAGGGGGGATGATGAGAATAACTACTTCATTAGATCATTGTGATGATTAAATGAAACTGAATGGAAAGCCATTATTATTATTATTTGTGTGTGTGTGTGAGGAAGATTGGCCCTGAGCTAACATCTGTGTCAATCTTCCTCTACCTTGTATGTGCGACACTGCCACAGCATGGCCTGATGAGCAGTGTATAGGACCCACCCGGGATCTGAACTGCCAAACCCTGGGCTGCCAAAACAGAGTGCATGAACTTAACCACTATGCCACTGGGCCAGCCCTGCCATTGTTATTGTTAATATTATTGTTATGACTACTACTCATCATTATTATTATAAAATACATTAAGCGAATTGTGCATTTAAGCATATTGTGAATTTAATGTAGAAGATAATGAAATAATCCAGAAATCTTTTAAATAGGATAAGGATACCAAGATGAGTAAGCAGTAGTCCCTGCTTATGGTCTAATGAAGGAGTCATCTATTCTTCTTCATTGCTGTAACCCTAACTCCTAGCTCCATGCCAGGCATTTTTAGTGGGTAGCCAATAAATATTTGTTGACGGAATGAACTTGCAAAGGACTTAAACATGAACACACAGATGGGAAATTACCAATGGGGGGAATTGAGGACAGCTTCATAGAGAAGTTTGCATTTGACCTGAATCTTTAAGAATGGATATGATTTTGATAGACAGTGAAGGAACTGAAAGAGATTCAAGTCATTTACTGGAACAGTGTTTCCCAAACATTTTTTGGGTCATAGCACATAAAGAAAATGGTAATTTATACGGACACTGGCCAAAGGCTCTACACTAGAAGATCATCCCCAAAAGAACAGAGACCTTGTCTATCTTGGTCAACTTTGTGTCTCCAACACCTCGGATAGTATGTGATGCATGTTAGTTGAATGGGAGTAGAGGGGAAAGCAGGAGCAAATACTTAGAACTGGTCTGTAAAATGTGCGATTTGGGCCATTGGAGCACAGGATTCATAAGAAAATGTAGGAAGAATCTAGAGAGACAGGTTGGAGGTAGATCTAGGTGGATTTTGAATGCTGTACCCAATTCGCCTTTAGTCAGTAGGGCACAGGATCCATCAAAGATTTTGCAACAGGGAGCTCTTAATAAAGAACCAATTCTGAGTGGGGGCTGTATAGAGTGGGAAACACTGGGAGAAGAGAATCAAGAAGGTGGCTATTTGCATTGTCTGGATGGCAGGCAAGGAAGGACTGAAGTAGGGCAGAGGGAATGTGAAGGCAGGAGGTGAGGTTGACACTTGAGTGCAGAAATAGTCAGCAGGACATCACTAGAGTGAATGGAGAAAGGCAAGGCAAGAGTCACATTACCACTCATTGGCTATTTCGCCTCAGACGGTGTACTTAACTTCTCTCTGCCTGTTTCCTCATCTACAGAATGAGAGATCTGAACTATTCCTTCAGGCCCATTACTTTCTAGTATTTCAAATCTAGTATTTAATATTCTAATCTTATCAAACTCCCAATGGATTTGCAAGGTCTCCCTTCCTCACTCCCATGCCTTCCCCTTTTCAATTTGTGGTGGCATTTTAGCTTCTTACTTTGGACCCCTTAGTCCTTTGAAAAGTTTCAGGTTAACATTTCATTAGAGTATGGCATATAAGTCCTTAGGGCATGGGCTGGAGTAGTCTTCCCTATGCTGTCTGAAGAATATTCAACTGGTAATTTCCTCCCTCCCTACATCTCTTGTTCGTTTGGTCTTCCGGGAAGACACCTGACAGACTTTCCTCTTATGAGTAAGGATTGTGTCTTATTCCTCTTTGTCAGTCTAAGCCTGGCATATAATAACCACTGAAGAATATGAAAAATGATTGAAAGAATGAATGAGTGAAGGAGTAAATGAGGTGATGATGGGGAGATATCTCTTCAATTTCATCTTACTGGCCCCTGGGAAGTTGTAGTCAGATGCATTACGACAGGGGACTGGTAACGTCACCTTTTGGTTTTTTCTCTCCTCAGGAACACTCAAGAATCTAAATGACTTTCTTAATCTTTGTTCTCCTACAACTATTGCTGTTATTTGCCACATAGCCTTTCCCACCCAGAAGTGGTTACCTGCCTAAGCTCATCTGAAGGCTGGGGAATCCATTGTGCCATCCTTCTCTCAGGACTAGAGTACCTACAGTTGTGTGCGTGGAAATTCCATCAGTGGTATCAACACAGATTTTCTAGGATAGAGACCTAGAATGAGTTAACAAGCACCAACACATTTGCTAAGCTTAAAAGAATACTCTATTATTGTGTGGCAATTGGTAAAGAACTTATTAATTAAGGATATAAGATAGAGAGAAATCTCCCAGGAGGCAAAAAGCCATTACAAAGACATTGTGGAGCCAATCTAGCAGTTAATGGAATACTCAGAGGTTCTCAGAAAAAAAAAAAGAAGGGGTCACTTTTCAAAAGAATAGGTATCACCAAATTAGTGATATGCAGATTGAGGGGAAACTTACCAAAAGACAGGTAAAATTTAAAAACCGAGCAAAAAACCTCATAAGCATCTGTTTCAATCCACTCCAATCTTTCTATTGTAACATCTCTGGATCCTAAACACACACCCACACCACCACAAAGCATAAAAGTAAATTGAGATGGAAATCGAAATCAGACTAGTGTTGCAAATTAGAATTAATAGTACATTTGCTTTTGTTCTGAGACAGGGGTGTCAGAGGCAAAATAAATAACTCATTTCAAATGCCTCTGAGTTGTTTGTTTAAGACGTAACTATCAAATTAACAAGAAATACCAGACTCTTCTCCATTTCCCTTCTTTGATTGTAAGTTTTCTCCCTACAGATTATCTTGTTGTAGGAGAACAGTGTTGTGTTTTAGAGAAGGACTTGGTGAGATGAGCCAAACACAGAGGATTACTCCGGAATTGGTTCCTCTGGAGTGATGATAGAGATCTTACATTCCTGTTCTATTAAGATATTTATCTTCCGAAGGCCTGAGAACTCCAGCCCTGGGAGCTGGAGGGGCTCATAGAGATGGGCTGTAGCAATCCTCCCAAACACAGTGTCACAAAGCACAGGATCACAGGACCCTAATAACTCAGTGTGTTGGACCTCACTGAGCCTTTCATCACTGAGGCAAAAGCAGACCTGAGAAATGTCTTCATCAGAGGAACAGCGTGTATGTCAAGAGCATGGAAATGAGAAAAATCAGGGATATTAGCTTGTTTACGTTGAAATTCAAGTGTAACCTGGACAATCCTCTGTACACAAATGGCACATTCATAAATTAAAAGTTGTGAATTATTTATTCCACATTTTGGGGGGAGGGGAGAGAGATGTATTTAAGTTAATGAGCACAAGATGGTTAAGTATAAAAAGCACTGGACATGGAATGAAAAATCTGGCTTTGAGTATATATGAGCAACTTCCTAGCTCTGTTATCATGACATATTGCTCATACTTTCTGAGGCTCCTCTATCTCATTTATAGACGGGGGTAAAATCATAGTTGCTCTGCCTGCCTCACAGAGTAGATGTAAAGATTATATAAGATAAAGTGTGCCAGAGCACAATACAACCTATAAAGGTGTTGTTGAAGATGATGATGACGATGGTGGTGATGAATTATCAGTTCATAGCAATTACCTTAGTCTGTCGTGAAAGAAAATGACTAAGTTTTGTGATAAATGAGGGTAGAAATGAAAAGACAGTTTTTGAGAAAGAAGTTCCATGTGAATGTAAATATTGATTATAACAGAAATGATTCCATAGTGCCATTAATATTCTGTTAAGCAGAATATATTTATTTGCCCTTCATCTTTAGACAAAACCGAAACCATAATAATACAGGCTGATAATGCAAATAAGGATGTATTATCAACAAATAACTGGCCACTTGATGTCAAACCTTCCCAAGTATATCCTCATACTTCAGCTCATTCTTTTCCTATGCCTGCTTCATCTGTCCAGGACCTCCATCACTGTTCCCTATCCTGAAGTTCAATGTCTTTTTCAACATTCTTGTTCTACATGCTTAATTTTTGAGTATCATTTTACTTGATATAAGAGATAGAGGCCAAACTGGAGTTGAACTTGGCTTTCTTTCTATAATCTACCTGCTAAGTACTACACCAAACATCCCCAAAATATGCGTCTCTTTCATCTTTGTCCTCCAGTCTCCAAATATGGTTAGATTTTTCTTTATTACTCTCTCCAGTTTTGTGAGCTTTTCGCATTGTGGGCCTCAGTCTTCCTGGGTCAATCTTTTTGCAGTTTTATATTTGAATTCATGAAAGAATTCTTCATCTAGTCACTTCCATTGGTTTCCGTAGACTAATCTCCCAACATTTTCTTTCGTAATTGGTATTGCTTGTGATTAAGGTACAAATTAATTTCTTAGTGTCTCTCAAATCCCTGAGTGTCTTTTAGGATTTCTGCTAGTCTTTGTTCATAGGACTATTTGGTGCTTAAGAGCTTGGCTCATGGAGAATCTCTATCCATGATTGAGGCTCTCTTCTTTGATTTTACAAAGTTTCTTGTAGAGCCCTGTACTTTCCCCACCACGATTCTCTGTTTTCACTACCTGTTTATGCCTTAGGATTTTTAAACTTCCTATTCCTTCTGTCTGGAACATTCTTCCATTTCTGTTCTTTACATGTCAGGCTCCCTCTCATCTAGTTTAAGTGTCTTATCCTCAGAAAGGACCTCCTTGGTGATAATAAAGTAGCCTTTGATATACACACACCCACTCATCCCCACACACACACTTACTCTATCTCATCACTCTGTTGATTGTTCTCGTGACGTTTAACATCATTGGTACCTGTCATGTTGGCTGATTGCTTCCCTGTGAGTTCTCTCTCCCCCGCTCCCACTCCATCCATCAGCTATGACTTGGACCTTGTTCATCTTGTTCACTGATGTTTCCCAGTTCTAGCACACCGTCCATTACACAGTAAATATGTGATGGAAGAATGAATGGTCTATTTCTGCATTATTCTGTAAGCTCTAAGCAGGCAGGATCTAAATGAATTAACTGAGTGAAAATATATTAAAGGTAAAATCAAGTTTTAAAGCACAAATAGAATATAGATTATTTATCCCATAATTTCCATTTGATAGGTAAGTCTTCAAGGAAGTGAAATAATTTGTAAAAGTTTTTATTTTTCAGTGAATCATAAGGCTAGGAGTAGAACCTGTTTTGCCTTCTAGAGAATTAAGTGTTAATTAAAGATCCTCTTCCCACTGGCACTTATCAGCTTGGTTGTCCACCTTCTTCATAATTGTACAACTTGAACTCTCTACTCCAGCCCACCAAACCAACAGGATGTGATTGTTGCTTGTTTTTTTGTCCTTTTAGGCTGAAGAAGCTTTGCCCTAAGCTAACATCTATCACCAATCTTCCTCGTTTTTTGCTTGAGGAAGATTAGCCCTGAGTTCACATCTGTGCCAGTCTTCCTCTATTTTGTCTGTGGGTCACCACCACAGCGTGGTATAGGTCCATGCCCAGGATCCCAACTGACAAACCTGGGCTGCCAAAGCAGAGCATGCTGAACTTAACCACTATGGAGTGGGGCCAGCCCCCATGTGGCTTGTTTCTTAACAGCAGTAGCAAATCTGGCTCTCTCTATTGTACTAAGCAGAATCTCCTCCCATCCACCCCTACTCGCAGAAGACCTGCTCAAAAGATCTTTTATCTTTTTGAAGTTTTACTTGAGTAAGCTCCATCAATTCTAGTCTTATCAGGTGCTCTGTAAATTATTTAGACCTTTATACCCTTGCCTTTCTGCCCAGTGGTAGAACTGGGACTCCTGCTTCATTTATATTTCCTCACTGTGGTAGATAGAAAAAAATGACCACAATATTTTGAAGCTCCTCTCATGAAGAGATGGAGTCTATTCCTCCATCAGATTCTATTTCTTGATTCTAGGCTTAGCTATGTGACTTGCTTTGGCCAATGGAAGATTAACAAATATGTTTCAAACAGAGGCTCAGAAATTGCTTTCAATATTAGAGTTTGCCTTCTCTCTCTGCAATTAGAATCCTGAGGCCATCTTATGAAAAAGCACAAACTAGCCTTCTGGAAAGGCTATATCAAGGAAAACCTAGGTGTCTTGGCTGGCTGCCTTCCAACTGCTAGACATATGAGTGGGGCCATCTTAGACCACTCAGCCCTCAATCTATTTGCCAATTGACTGTAGACATATGAGTGAGCCCAGGTGAGACCATCAAAAGAACTGCACAAATGAACCCAGCCCAAATTGCCAACCTATGGAATTGTGAGCTAACAAATGATTATTGTTTTAAGTCACTAAGTTCTGGGATGGTTTGTTACACAGCAAAAGATAACTAATACACACACTGAGCTTCCTACATTGCTTTCCATTCAGCTTTATTTGCTACTTCTCAGGTACACTTCAGTAGTGGATGATCCATTTATCCCCATTTCACAGAGAGGAAAAATCAATGTCAAGTGGCTTTTCTAGTATTGATGCCCTGACATGCTTAATTCTTTAGATCCCATGCATTAAAGATAAATCCTCTTAAGACAATTTTCAAGGGAGCAGACACTAAAAATGTTTAGAAGCGAATTAGGATGTTAACGATGTGCAGACAGTTCTTGAAGGCTGGACTCCAAAACTACAAGCATAAGTTGAAATTGGTTGTTGTTAGCTCCATTGAGTTGATTCCAGCTCCCGGTGACCCTGTGGACAGCAGAGCAGAGCCCTGCTTGATCTTTTTGCAACATCCTCTCCCCTTCTGGCTCTATAACAGGCAGTGCTCTGTTGCTATTCATAAAGTTTTCCTGGCCAATTTTTTGGAAGTGGGTGGGCCAGGTCCTTCTTCCTAGTCTGCCTTTGTCTGGAAGCTCTGCTAAAACCTGTCCACCATGGGTGACTCTACTGGTATTTGAAATCCTGGTGGCCCAGCCTTCAGCATCACAGAAACACATAGCTGCCACAATATGACACCTGACAGATGGGTGGCACGGTTCCCTAACTGGGAAATGAACCCCAAGCCGCAGTGGCGAGAGCACCGCATCTAAGTCATTAGACCACCAGGGCCGGCTATGAGCTTAGATAGGGTTTATAAAATTAAAAGAGCCAGAATCCAATTTTGTTGGTTTACCTCTTATTTTCTAACCATCACCTATTGAACTGTGTACAAAACATCAAGACTGTTCCAAGGCTGCATTCGCTAGAACCCACCCAATAATAATCACAATAATTATTGGTAATAATTATGGACCACCTTCTAAGGGTCAGGTACATTTCAAATCCATTACCTCTGATGTCATAGTAACCCTATTAATAGGGATAATTTCCCTTTTACAGAACAGGAAGCTAAGGCCTGGAGAAGTTAGGAAACTAGCTCCAAAACACACAGCCAGGAAGGCAGAGAACTGAAATTCCAGCCAGGGTTAGCCTACGCACTTTCTCGTTTACCGCTTTTCTCTTTTGGATTGACTGGGTCCCTTTCCTGTTTCCTTTCACACATTAAGGATGCAAGTCATGAGCCCCACATCCCGGGATACCTGCAGGGACTGTTCCTCAGCGAGAAAGCAGAGTCTCTGTCATGTATCAAAATGTAAGTGATCTCACTTTCAAACAGCTTAAGTCTGTCACCCTGGGTCTACCCCCGGAAAAGCCTCCTATTTATCTACAGCTCTTACTTTTCAACCCAAGTTTTGGGGAGGCAAAAGGGAATACCTTAAGTCATGAAGTAGACACATTTCTTCCTAACTCGGAGCCAAATCACGTACAATAGTACTTTCCCAAACTTCTGGATTAAATTCCTAAAATACCCTCGAAGGAGACCTTAATATTTAAAAACTTAAGAGAGGCCAGCCTTGATGCAAGGAACAGCATTACAAGCATTTTTTATGTTCCCAATAATAGAACAATACACAGCACACCTATCTCCATTAATGACATTTTACCCATCTTAAAGGAGTAAAAATAGACACTGTGCTTTTAATTTAATCGATCATCTCCTACCTGCTAGTTACATTTTACTATCTCCCGTCCCCCTCAGTTACAACTTATAAAATCATTTCACTTTGTTGCATCTGATAGATATTTGTTTTCTATCTGCTCCATATACAGATGCCGCTACAATTTTGTGACTTCACAGTCCTGCTTCCTGGATTCCACCTCTCGGGTTCTCTTATTGCATTTATGTGTAGACATATCTGCGTCCCCTCCTTGACAGCTGGCATCTGACATTAGTCCTCTTGGTATCCCCATGCCTGGGACAGTTCCTAACACATATGGGGGCTTAATGAGTGTCACATTGAATTATACTTTTTGTATCCCCACTCTATACCTTTCGCACATAGAAGGCATTCCTTCAATATTGGTGAATTACGCAATTAATGGAGGAACGATGGGAATGATCATACTAAGAGAAATTAATCATGATTGTAGGCAGATCTTAGGGGCAGAGATAAATGACAATTTCCTCCTTCTGTTTTCATTTATCTTTAGAGAGACAGGGTTTCTTTCCTTTATCAATTCCATATCCCTTGTACTCCAAACTAGTATCTAACCTTGTTAAAATGAACCCCTTTCTTTTCCCCACAAGGCCAATTTCATAATTATATATTCTGTTTACTTACGTATCAACCATTTTAAGAATTACAGCAACCTGACTATCACAAAGTTTGTAAGGATTAAGTGGCCAAAGACACTTAAACAACACAGCTTAGCATTCTTTCAGTTCCCTTAAAAACAGCACAGTTCTAAAGAAACCAAATTGCAGAATCCAATTCAGGATGTAGATTAGCCCAAAGAAAAGGAAATAATGACAGGAATTCCTCCTTGGCAGGTTATAACTACTAAGCTAAAATTCATGCATCTGGAAAATATTATAGCATTAAAAAAACCTGATTTCCCTTGAATTAGGACCCGCTCTGATTTGGCTCCTCTTGCATCTGCTTTAACCAAAGGCTTGTCGAAATGAAGTTATCTAAATGTCTGTGCTGGGTGATCAGGCAGCACCAGGATGGCACAAAAGAGATGAGAAAAGAGCAAGAGGAAAGGAATATGTCACATCTTGACTACAGGGCGACAGTGCAAAACATCTAATCACAGCAGCGCCAGGGAACTTGAACCTGTCCAAAAAGATCCCTCGCTCTCCATGTTTAATTGCCGTTGATGGCTGCTGGCCAGTCATGCATGACAATGTGTGCGTGTCTCGCTGCTCCCTGCCTGTGCTCATTCCTGTCAGCTTTCACTCCAGGTGATGAACACAGTCCTCGGACCATGTGAGGGGGATCTGGGCCAGAGATGGGGGGGCAGGGTGGGCTGGAGGACCTCCTCACGGACATAAAGCAGCTTGTACTCCAATAACCCATGGCTAGGCAGAGGTCTTTTAGAAATAGAAACGTTATAACCAGCTTCAATCTCTTACTTCTTTTCCCTGAGTACGCAGCATATCTGTTTTCCTCTCAAGGAAAACAAAACTAGGACACACCATGCAAATGGGTAGGACATCTGTGACCTGAGGTATGTCAATTGGCAGCATGCAAATCTCCTGTTTGGTCGATTCTATTTGAGCACATGCTTGAGGATGGATAGAGAAATTTGAATTACACTAAAAGACTACTCAATAGTTTTAAACCTCTTCTTTCTGTCTGCACAAAAGGCAAAATCATGTTTCTATTGATTCCAATGACAAGAAAAACTCTCTGAGTTCTTGGGGAAAAGATGGTTTATTAAGTCTAATGTGGTGTTGATAATTCGGAAGGAATGCATGGATCCTCTTGCAGCCTAATACTTCATATTTAGTGTGAGATAAGTCTAGAAGTTCTCTGGAGTTTCAGACCCCTGGATAGGCTTCTTTGAAGCACGAATCAGTGAGAAATCTCAAAGCACAAAAGTTCCAGGGAGAACGAAATGGTGAGGTTCAGTTTAGGAACCACTTTCTGCAGAAGGCCTGTCTCTTGTCTACATTCTGTGCAGTGTTGGGAAGAGCTTAACTTCTCTCTGGCTTTACTTGCCTTATCTCTAAAAATAGACATCTCTGCCTCATGAAGATGCTATGAGGATTCAATGAGCTGACGTCTACTTATGAGCTTCCTCTGCAGATAAATAGACATACTGCAGGCATGTAAGCACAAGGATGTATGGTCTAGTTATTTTTGCAGACTTAGTGACAGAGCATAATGATAAATGGTACAAGTTCTGAAATGAGTCAGGACTAGATTTGAAGACTGACTTTGTTACCTACTAGCTGTTTGTCTTGTGTTAATTTTCTCATCTTAAAATGGAGACAATTATTCTTACCCGAGAAACAGTTGAGAGGATGTGCTGAAAAGATCTGACACAGAGGCCAGCGCAGTGGCGCAGCTGTTAAGTTCGCACGTTCCGCTTCTTGGTGGGGGTTCGCTGGTTCGGATCCCGGATGCGGACATGGCAATGCTTGGCAAGCCATGCTGTGGTAGGCGTCCGACATATAAACGGGAGGAAGTTGGGCACGGACATCAGCTAAGGGCCAGTCTTCCTCAGCAAAAAGAGGAGGATTGGCAGCAGATGTTAGCTCAGGGCTAATCTTCCTCAAAAAAAAAAAAAAGATCTGACACAGTAAATGTTGAATAAATAGTAGGTAGTTGCTAGCTCCAAGCTCATGGCATATATGTTCAGAACAAAAATCCAGAAATAAGTATATCATATTGAAGATTAAATCATCTGTGGCAGGAATATAATTGTTGTTGATTGGCAATTTGACATAAACTGTATAAATATCTTACTATTTTCTCAGCAAGAACCAAAAACAAAGGTTGGGAGCAAGCAAATTTCATTTCAGTATCATAAAGACTCTTTCCTCCACGGTAAAACTAGTTTCATTTTTTCTGTTATATAAACAACACCTGCTCATTGTGAAAATTAAAAAAAAAGAAGCAAATCAATCAATAAAGGTAAAGAGAAGAAAATAAAAATCACTTGATATTCTACCATCCTGTGATAATCACCATTAACATTTAGTAACGAGCAGAATGAAGTAAGCAAGATGGCCGAATAGGATATTCTTCACCAGTATCCTTCCCTCAACAACAGCATTTGGCATCCATCTAAGGACAGAAGTGCCTTTGTGGGAGCTGTGGGATCCAGCACGGTGCTCAAGGTACTCCAGAGGAGTCTTGACCATCTGTGCATTGGGTGACAGGCAGACAGACCTCAGTCCCGGCTGCAGACCCTGCAGCAGCCTGTGAACCAGCTCCAGTCCCTCTCAGCCATGGTCTGGGGGTCCCTGGAGGATACTGTCTTAGACAATCACCCACAGATGAGAGAGCTGATGTGGAAGTCCTGGTTTCCAGAGAAGACCCAGAACACCATTAGAGCAAAAATATGAGTTTGGATGCATTGGAGAGGGTAACAAGAACAGTTTGACTTTACCCATGTGACCCCTCTTCCAAGGCAGCAGAGCTCAGTGCCAAGAGAAACCTCTTTGGCCTGTGATTTCTTCTGCAGGGTAAAGTGTGAGGGTGTGAGTGAGCACCCAGCTTGCCCAGCCGTGCAGGATGCTGCCAAAGTGGCCCGTTTCTCTCTCACCCCATCCAGGGTACTGAGGAGTGAGCTGCATTACAGGGGGGCTGGAAGCTGCTGGGAGAACAGCAGCTAGGACTCTCAGAGGGCATTATGGGGACATGAATCCTACTTATCAGGTCATGGACTCCAGCAAAAAGCCTTCCCACAAGATGCTAGGGATGTCTCGCCCATGGGTTCGCCCAGCTGGCCTATGAGCACACCCAACACTCCATATGCCTCACATACTCATATCCATGCTGTGGCCGGCCCCCTGTACATGCTCCCAATGGTAAGGAGAGTAAGGTTTGGCAGATAGCTAGTGAGAACTTGCAGAAAGCTGGCCCAAACCTGTGGTCTGTGGAAACGCCACAAACTTGAGTTTTAGTACTACCCTTTGGAAAGCAAAAGAGAGGCTTTCAGCACCTGGACTAGTGCATAGTGGGGTCAAGAGAGGGCATACAAGCTTAAGAATTCTCCTTAAGAAGGAGAAGGAAGTGTGGAGCAGGTATATCCATAGAAGATTTGAAAAAAGAAGCCCTAGCAGGGCTAAATGATAGTATTTCTTTTCTGAAGTCAGTCAGTAAAGACTGGAGGAGATTTTCTACTTCACATGTTAAGACAGAAACACAAGACTTCAAAGAACAAGAAAAACTGAAGAAACCTGGTACTACCAAAGAATCATAATACTTTCCAGTAACCAGCTCCAAATACATGTGATTTACCCTACAAAGAATTCAAAATAGCTATTTTAAGGAAGCTTAATGAGCTACAAGAAAACACAGAAAGACAATTCAAAGGAATCAGGAAAATAATACACAAACATAATGAGAAGTTTAACAAAGAGATAGAAATCATCAAAAAGTACAAAACAGAAATTCTGGAGCTTGAAAATACAATGAATGAATTGAAAAAAAAAATGTAAGAGAGAACATCAACAGCAGAATGCAACAATTAGAATAAAGAATCTGTAAATTAGAAGATAGGATCCTTCAAATAGCCCAGTTAGAGGAAAACACAGAAAAAAGAACAAAAAAGAGTCAAGAAAGTCGATGTGATCTATGGGATACCATCAAAAGAAACACTCTGCAAATTATTGGAATCTCAGAAGGAGAACAGTGGGAGAAGGGAGAGGAAAGCTTATTTAAAGAAATAATGGCTGAGAACTTCCCAAATCTGGGGAGAGATTTGGACATCCAAGTTCATGAAACTCATAATCTCCAAAACAAACTCCACATAATGAAATCTTCTCCAAGACACATTATAATAAAACTGTCAAAAATCAAAGACAAAGAGAGACTCTTAAAAGCAGCAAGAAAAAAGAAGCTTGTAACTTAGAAAGGACTCTCTGTAAGGCTATCAGCAGATTTCTCAACAGACACCTTACATGCCAAGAGAGAGTGGGATGATTTATTCAAAGTGCTGAAAGAAAACACCATCTATGCCAAGACCACATCTAATGTCACTCTTAACAATGAAAGTTTGAAATCTTTCTTTCTAACATCAGGAACAAGACAAGCGTGCCCACTTTCACCAACCCCATTCAACACAGTACTGGAAGTCCTAGCCAGAGTAATTAAACAAGAAAAAGAAATCAAAGGCATCCAAATTGGAAAGGAAGAAGTAAAACTGTTTCTATTTGCAGTTGATATGATCTTATACGTAGAAAATCCTAAAGACTTCATCAAAAAACTATTAGAACTAATAAACAAATTTAGTAAAGTTACAGGATACAAAATCAACATACGGAAATCAGCTGAATCTCTATATACCAACAGCAAAATATCTGAAAAAGTAATAAAGAAAACAATCCCATTTATAACAGTATCAAAACCAATGAGATACTTAGGAATAAAGTTAACCAAAGAGATGAAAGATTGGTACACTGAAAACTATAAGACTCTGATGAAAGAAATTGAAGAAGAATAAATAAATAGAAAGATATCCCATGTTCATGGATCAGAAGAATTGCTATTGTAAAATGTCCATAAAACCCAAAGCCATCTATAGATTTAATGCAATCTCTATCAAAATTCCAATGTCATTTTTAGCATAAGTAGAAAAAACAATTGTAAATTCATATGGGCCCACACAAGATCCCAGGTAGCCAAAGCAATCCTGAGAAAGAGGAACAAACCTAGAGACGTCACACTTCCTGATTTCAAACTATACTGCAAAGCTATAGTAATCAAAACAGTATGGTACTGGCATGAATATAGACACACAGACCAATGAAATAAAATAGAAAGCCTAGAAATAAACCATTGTGTATGCAATCAACTAATATTTGATGAAAAAGCCAAGAATCCTCAAGGAAAAAAGGATAGTCTTTTCAATAAATGGTGTTGGGAAAACTGGATAAACACATGCGTAAGAATGAAATTGGACTCCTAGCTTAAACCACACATGAATATTAACTCAAAATGAATTAAAGACTTAAACATAAAACCTGAAACCATAAAACTCCTGGAAGAAAACATTGGGAAAAAACTCCTTGATTTTGGTCTTGGCAGCAATCTTTTAGATTGACCCCAAAAGCACAAGCAACAAAAGCAAAAACAAATAAGTGGGACTACGTCAGACTAAAAAGCCACTGCACAGAAAAGGAAACAATCAACAAAATGAAAAGGTAAGTGATGGAATGGGAGAAAATATTTGCAAACCACATATCTGATAAGGGGTTAATATTCAAAATATATAATGAACCCATATAACTCAATAGCAAAGAAACAATCTGATTTTAAAACAGGCAATGGGCCTAAATAGACATTTTTCCAAAGAAGACATACAGATGGCCAACAGGTACCTGAAAAGATGCTCTACATCAATAATCATTAGGTAAATGCAAATCAAAACCACAGTGAGCTATCACCTCACACTTGTTGGAATTATCAAATAGACAAGAGGTAACGTGTTGGTGAGGATGTGGAGAAAAGGGAAACACTAACAGAGGGAATGTAAATTGGTGTGACCACTATGGAAAATAGTATGGAGATTCCTCAAAAAATTAAAAATATAACTATGATATGAGCCAGGAGTCCCACTTCTGGATATATGTCCAAAGGAAGTGAAATCAGGATCTCTAGGAGATATCTGCACTCCCATGTTCATTGCAGCATTATTCAAAATTGCCAAGATATGGAAACAACCTAAACATTTGTCTATAGAGGAATGAAAAAAGAACATGTGATGTATGTATACATATATGATGGAATATTTTTCAGCTACGAGAAAGAAAGAAACTGCCATTTGGGACAACATGAATGGAACTGAGGACATTATGCTAAGTGAAATAAGTCAGACAGAGAAAGACAAATACTGTATGACATCACTTATATGGAGAATCTAAAAAAGCAGAACTCAGTAACAGAGAGCAGAGTTGCCAGGGTCTTGGCCTATGGGGAAAATGGGAGAAGTTGGTCAAAGGGCACAAACTTCCAGTTATAAGATGACTAAGTTTTGGGGATCTAATGTACAATATGGTGACTATCGTTAACCATACTGTATCATATATTTGAAGATTGCTGAGAGTAGACCTTAAATGTTCTCACCACGAAAAAGTGGTAATACGTGTGGTAATGAAGGTGTTAACTAGCCATACTATGGTAATTGTTTCACAATATAGGTGTGTCAAATCATCATGTCGTACACCTTAAACTTACAGAATGTTACATGTCATTTACCTCTCAATAAAGCTGGAAAATAAAACAAATTTTTAAAATTTTAAAAGCATTTAGTAACCATTCTTTCATGCATGTGATTTTGTATATATATACATATGTATTACAAATGAGGTCATATTATAATTATGATGGACATTTTCATTTTTAGCTGGTCCACATTCTTTTACTCAATCTCTTTTTTGGTTTTGAATTATTTTCCAAGA